CCTCAAAGCAAATCCTAACCATCCCTTTGTGGTATTGAAACTTGTGGTATAATTTCAGAGCGATCCATACACCGTTCCACAAGTTATTGTCTGGAAACTAGAAAATGCTTATTTTTGGCCCCTTTTTGGCCCCTAATTCCTTGACTGTTGGTACCATAACCCCCAAAATCAATCCCAACCTTCCTTTTGTGGCATTTAACCTTATTGTAAAATTTCATAGAGATCCATTCACTTAAACTAAAGTTATAGTGCGAAAACCAATGTGTCTTCGGACGACAACGACGCCGGTTGAAGACAACAACGATGACGACGCCGTCGTCATACCAATATACGACCACAAAAATGTTTGCGGTCGTATAAAAATGGTAAGTTATCTTCAATTGATTCTACAATACAATGTTGATTATAGTATTATGTGTTTCAAGCATGAGTCATTGTTTATTTGTTCAATTCTGTCAACTTTGATTTTGCTATATAATAAATGTTGTGATCATTTTATAAAAATACTGTGTTGCAAAACTGTTAATCAACTTATCTAATGCTAATTTCAAACAGTAAAAAGATAATAGGACCTGTCCTAAGTCAGGAATCTGATTACAGTAGTTGTCGTCTGTTTATGTAGTTCATACGTGTTTCTCGTTTCTCGTTTTTATATAGATTAGACTGTTGTTTTTTTCTGTTTGAATGGTTTTACACTAGTAATTTTTTGGGGCCCTTTATAGCTTGCTGTTCGGTGTGAGCCAATGCTCCGTGTTGAAGGTCGTACCTTGACCTATAATGGTTTACTTTTATAAATTGTAACTTGGATGGAGAGTTGTCTCATTGGCACTCATACCACATCTTCCTATATCTAATGACTGTCACAAGAAAATGTCTAAAAAAATCATTATTTGATCTCATGGTCAAATCATCATAAATCTAGGTCACATAAATGTCATTTTAAACAACACACTGTCTTATGGTAAAACACTCAAAGGAAAAACCAAATTATCTTCAATGATACCCAACAAATTGTAATGATGTGATGCACCAACTTGCCTATATCAGGAGAAAGAAAGATTGCCTGGAGCGCTGGACCCAAACCAGAAAATGTGTGAAAAAATCAATTATTTCACTTTGAGGTCAGAAGTACAGTCATATGAAGGTCATAGTCATTGTGTAACTATTGTCACTGCATTATGAGAGAGCTTACAAAATCAAATCTTGTGATAAAGTAGCTCAATTATCAAAAGGATTAACAATTATTTTATTGTATCGGATTGCACATACTAGTATGGGATGTTTGCGCTACCACTCTTTATGTATACAACGTCACCGCTGTTGTGACGTTACCTACTTCAGAGTTCAATTACAAGTATCACTGCAAGCAGACGTTCTTCTTTCTTAGCCGCAATTTGTGTCCGATACAACCACTCTACAATATTGGTACAGTGACCAGGATGAATCTGAAGCCGTGTTCATTACAAGCAGGTCATAGAAGTGCAGTTTCCAGGATGTAATCATCAATACAACTACTCTACCATAATAAGATACCTGTTCCTTACAAAAATATTGCAGTCCTTCTGTATCAGAAAATCATTCTAGCTTGACTGAAATCTATCAAAGGACTTAGGAGTGATTCCATAAGGTCAATATAATTTCAAAAATCTAACTAAATGCCCCAGCTAGAGCTGCAAATTAGTGGATCTTTTTTACAGATCAATTTCTTTTTCCTATGCAGATTATGTGGATGCATATGTGGTGCAATAAACATTAGCACCTTCAAAAATAGATATCCTTCTGACTATATGTCTCACTGACTACATTGTCTGCTGTATCTGCAGCTTATGTAATTGTGACTTGACTATAGTTTTTGTCCATCAATTATAACGATTGTACAACCAGGTTGTAAAATTGACAATACAATTTGGACGTTTACTGTGACTTGATAAGTGTTTTTCTCCACCTACTGCAGTTCCAAACCTATCAATAGGTATGGCAACAACCAACTAGAGGCTCTCAAGAGACTGTCGCTCACCTGATTCTACTTTGGTTTTGGAAATCATGTAAAATAGATTAAAATCATAAGAGATACCCTAATAATGATTGAGGCCAAATTTGGTTTAATATTGGCCACGTAATTTAATAAAAAATCCTGGTGGCCATCTTGAACAGTAAATATGCAACAAAGTAGCAACACTTCATGCACCTCATAAGAAACGTTTATGCCATGTTTGGTTTCATTCCATTCAGTGGTTCTCTAAAAGAAGACATTTGTATGTATAGTTCATAGGGTCCTATGTTAAACAAAGTCCCCCGCTGGCGGCCATCTTGGATGATGGATGATGGATCGGCTTCAAAGTAACAACACTCGGTCAGTACCTCATAAGGAACATTCATGCCATATTTGGTTTCATTCTATTCAGTGCTCCTCTAGAAGCATTTGTATGTATTTCCCATAGGGTCTAATGTAAAACTAAGTCCCCTGCTGGCGACCATCTTGGATGATGGTTGGCCTACAAAGTAACAACACTTGGTCAGCACCTCATTAGGAGCATTCATGCCATGTTTGGCTTCATTCCATTCAGTGGTTCTTCAAAAGAAGAATTTTGTATGTATTTCACATAGGGTCCTTTAAGTTTCCCGCTGCCTATCATCTTGGTCAGCACCTCATAAGGAACATTCATGCCATGTTTGGTTTCATTCCATGCAGTGGTTCCCTAAAAGAAGACATTTGTATGTATTGTCCATAGGGTCCTTTGTTAAACTAAGTTCCCCGCTGGCAGCAATCTTGGATGATTGATTGGCTACAAAGTAACAACACTTGGCCAGCACCTCATTAGGAACATTCATGCCATGTTTGGTTTAATTCCATTCAGTGGTTCTCTAAAATAAAACATTTGTATGTATTTCCCATAGGGTCCTATGTAAAACTAAGTCCCCGCTGGCGGCCATCTTGGATGATTGATCGCCTACAAAGTTACAACACTTGGTCAGCACCTCATAAGGAACATTTATGCCATGTTTGGTTTCATTCCATTCAGTGGTTCTCAAGAAGTTCAAAATGTAAAAAGTTAACGACGACGGAAGACGGATGCCAAGTGATGAGAAAAGCTCACTTGGCCCTTCGGGCATACAGAGCAGAAATCATAAAATCTTGTCAGAACTGTCTAAAGATAATTCTGTCCAAAGCTGAATTCTATTTGGTCCATTGTTATCCGATAGGCATTAATAAATGTTGTTTGCAATTTTTTGTTAACCTCAAAGATTTTTTTTTGTTATAGCTTATCTTGATTTCACTTGCAAAGATCCTTGTCAACATATTTCTATGTAAAACCATTTCCTTGAACCATTAATACATTTATTCCTGTGTTTCAGAGTAAAAGTAGCTGATCTTGTAGCAGCCATTGGTTATTTAAATGACTTAGGTGTTACAATTCGGTGAATTACACTCAAAAGACCATTTCTTACTTTATTTGCATGTACATGCAACTGTACAATAGTGACCATGCTGTTGTAAGATGGTTTGACAAGTCACCAGTCTACTTAGTGACTGTCTTAGCAATACTAAACAGCTCCAAAAAAGTGGGTGTAAATGATCAAAATCTGTTTAAAGGTATCCCAGAAAATTGTTGAGTACATAATAGATTGAATAAATTGCTTCGCTGAGCGCAGCTTGATACAACCGCAGATGTCCAACCCTGAAAAGTTGGGGCCAAAATGGACACAATATTCACGCTTGATACAGGTCTGAATTTGGATTTTAATTAAATTTTTGACACATAATAGGTTTCTGACACAGAATAAGTGTAGTCAAAGAACTTCAAATTGGTTATATGATTTGAATTTATATTCACTATTCTGCTTTTGTGCAACACACTGTACAAATTGACCCCCCCCCCCCCCCCCCCCCCCCACAAAAAAATAAAATTTTACCCCATTTTTTTGTGTTTGTGCAATACACTATGCTGTTGAATATAAACCCCCCAAAAAAAATATTTAAAGAAATTTTCTTTTAATTTCTGAAATCTGAAATGAGAATAATTGTCCTCCTCCAATTTTTTTCACCTCCCACTTTCCCTTATTCAAAAAAATAATTCTTTCCCTCAAGTTATGGTCAGTATCTCAGACAATCATCATTTCTTAATATATTATTTAAATTGATTTTGATTTTGATTTGGATTACCTCCCTTACACTGCTTTTAAATTGTCTCAATTGTCCTTTAACCAGAAAAACCCTTGTTTTTCCCTTTTTTTGGCCCCTAATTCCTAAATGGTTTGAGCCATAACCCCCCACAGTCAATCCTAACCATCGCTTTGTAGTATGGAAACTTGTGGTATAATTTCAGAGAGATTCATACACTTTAACACAAGTTATTGTCTGGAAACTACAAAAATGCTTATTTGGGCCCCTTTTTTTGCCCCTAATTCCTAAACAGTTGGGACCATAACCCCCAAAATCAATCCCAACCTTCCTTTAGTGGTTATAAACTTTCTATTAAAATTTTATTGATTTCTATTTACTTATACTAAAGTTATTATCCGGAAACCATCTGTCTTCGGACGACGCGATACCAATATACGACCAAAATTTTTTTTTAATTTTGCGGTCGTATAAAAAGACCATACCAAGTAACACCTCTAGCTGTTGCATTGTCTTATATGATCTTTACAATTTTAGCCTACCAAATATATTGTCCCTTACACATTGGGTTTTTGCTTATAAAGTCTCAAATTATGAAATCTTATTTCGGGAAAATATGCTTACCCTGTTGATTAGCTGTTAACACAAAGAAATAACATGTCTATGTAACCCAAGTAACAAGCTAAAAATTGTCAAAACCTCAAATGCATGAAACAGCACCCCTATGTCTTCACTGACAATTGTTGCAGCAAAACAAATATAAGTTAAGATTCTTGCCAAACCTGCAGTTTTTCATGAAAAATATAGTCTTACTAATTGTCATTTGCAATATCTGCAATATGACAAGAAAGTAATACTAAAGAAATAACTAAGACTATTAAATGACATGACATTTAATTATATATCTCTGAATGTACAGCTTTAAAACATTATTTACAATTCAAAATATTTTAATGAAACATGATCTATTCATTGATACAGCTTCTATAAATTCAATGAATATAGTGCTTTGATTTAAGATTTTTTTTTTTTTTATGCACACAATTTAAGTTGTGGTGGTTTTTTTTATAAGGGAATTTTGTGTTTTGGGATTTGATCCGAACTAAAGTTAATTTTCCTATTAATAACTAATAATAAAATTCACATACACATGAGAGCTTATATGTTATCTGCTAGTTCATGCAGCAGTTTCAAACTAAACACCTCATGTCTATATGCTTTCATACCCGTACTTATATTTCAGAAGCAAATAAAACCTTGAATTTTGAAAGGTCAGTTTTTGAAATGTTGAAGGTTTGTCAGCCTATCTTTAAGTTTTGTATGAAAATTAACAAACAAAAAAACTAAAAAATAAAAATCACACAATGGTCATTTTTAGTTCTACATTTCGGATCTGTTACTGCATTCAAGTCACAATTGAATATTAAACAGACCCAGTCACAAGTGAACTGCAACAAATCAAATAGAATATATTTTTTATCAACCGGTATTGACCATAAAAATATCTTTCAAGATTATTAACTATATATTTCTACTTGCAGGATATATTTTTAATTCAAATTATACTGCTTAACTTCATAAAAATAATCAAAAATATCATAAACGTTGGTAATATCTATTTTACTGGTAAACAGCTATTACCCACAGTTTTCCTTTAAATACATTAATTAATGCTTCATGATGAAATTATAGAAAAAAGTACCCAATGTTATCTGTTATAAAACAGACGAATGAATAATACTAAATATGAATAGAAACTAGATGTAAATCGATGAAAATTTTGTACAACATGTTAACTATGTTCCAGTACAGGATTACTATTGTTCATAAATATCACTTTCACACAACAATAAATACAGGTACTATTATCACAATCTGTACATGGTTTTATCAATTCTCCTTCAGTAGAGAACATTCAAGTAAACCATTAAGATAAAGCTTTACATAGCACCTGTATTCTTCTTATTCTAAAATCTTTCAATCTTTTGCAATGCAATATAAAATGCTGAATATGGAATATTCTCTACAATTGATATCATAATAGATTTTTTTTTTATGAAAACTTCTTGTATTATAAGCCAATACTTAAAAATAAAATAACACTAAATATTCAAAGTGGCGTGTATATATGAAAACTGTAAACTGTTTCCTTCTTTAATCATCCTATTTAATAATGATATTTCAGTATTATACTGCATTGCTAACAAGAAAAAGATTTGATTGACTATTTCACACAACTGGTTAAATGTTTTTATCACAAATTATTAGTTTTTCTCTTCTTTTTTCTGTTCTTGTTGGTCTGTTTCTGAAGAAGATGATGATGACGACGATGAGTCTGTGGATTCTGATGATGAAGATGAGGATGCATTTTGTGAACCATCTCTTTCAGCAGCCATCTAGAAAAATAAAATATATAGATTTGCCATATAGCACATGACATTCAAAAAGAAATTGCTACATAAAACTGTTTCCACGCAATTTTCAAACATATCATTCAGACAACTTGCTATAATAATAATCAATACAATATATGCATCCATGTGCATTCTGAGAGCAAATATATTGAAATGGAAAACAGATGTTGAGGAGACAGCGTCACTGCTACACAGCCTTAAGCTTTTGTTAGTAACACGTCAAACGGCAGACTGAACAGCTATTGTTTCTTATGATACAGTCAGCTTATTAGAAATCTTCGACTTATTGAAGTTGTGAACAAAGAATAGCACTAGCAGTAAAAATATAATCAGTTATCTTTTGTGATCATTTATTTAATATTGTACGAAATAAAACAAATCAGTCATACATATCAATTTGTACATTCTTACACCACACGCAACTTTTACAATAAAGGCAAAAAATGTCTACAAATCCTCTACAATATTTAATACTTAAAATATCCACTATATTCTTACCTTTTTGTAAGCCATCTCAAATAATTTAAGTGAAGATTGTTGTAATTCTGATGTAGCTGTTTTAATATTTTCTGGTGATTCATTTTCTTTATTTCCTAAAACTTCTCTTACTTTGGCTATTTCTTCTCTAAGTTTATCACACTGTAAATGAAATTCAATGTAAACAAAAACATTTGGAGAAATACTATTTGACGTATTATGTAGATATCTAACTTAGCCATAATTAAAATAAATTAGGAATGTGTTCGAGGACACTAATGCCCCCTCTCAAGCTTTGAAATTTTTCGTCAAAAGGGGCATAACTCTAGAATGATACACGACTCACTGCCCAATTTTGAACTCTGTTTGCATATTGAAGTTCTAAGCATTGTGTATGATTTTCATAAAATTTGGACGAGATAAACTTAATTTGGAGGGCGGAAATGAAAATGGGATGGACTATCAAGGGTAACACTTGATGCCCCCATTGCCTACTTCAGGGGCATAAAAAACAACTGAGAGATCTTCGTTTCAAAATAGCTTTCAGGATTTGTACCATAATTATACGTTAATAATAATTTTCATTGAACCTTGCTTATAAACAAACATTTAAAGCTCAGTTTACAAGATTGTATAATGAAAGAAAACAAAAATAGACATTTTTTGTCAATGTGTATGTCAACATTTAATCTTAGAGCTAGTCAAAACCTGAAAGTATAGCAATGTCATGAAGTAGGAAGAATTAAGTGAAATCATTAATAATTAGTGAATATAAATCTGAATTCTACTGTCAGAAGCTGAATAATAACAACTTACTTCTTCTTGTGGTAACTGATCTTTAAATTCTGTCATCTTTGACTCTGTATCATGCACAATACTTTCTGCTGAATTTACTGCCTCTACAATTTCCTGAAAAAATAAGTTTATATCAATATCATTTTCTATTAAGCAACAAACAATATCTGATCACTAAGCAGTTTCAGAATCGGATGCATACTAGGTAATATTTTCAAAAGCTTACATCAAAACATTGTTATTGGCTAACAAAATCCTCAACAATGAAAATTCAATCAAATCAGGACGTTATTTTCATTTTGGGGGTACAAAAAATGATATATCAATAGTCCTTTAAAATCTGAAGTTAAATTCTCCAAAAGTCTTATAACCTGACTTGGAAAACTTTCTTTACCTCAACTTGAAAAATTATTTTCCCTAACTTTGAAATAGTTTTTAACCTTAACTAAAAAATCCTTTCAACAGATATATCCAGTTGTTTGATCTGTTTAAATTCAATTGACAAAAAAGCATGCTCAGAAATAAATGTCAACAAAGCATTATTTATAATGCTATTCTGGTGACGAAAAATGGTGCATCACAGCATGTTTAAAGAACTTTGATGACAGTTGAAAATCAAATCAAATACCACAAATATTCAAAGCTATAAAATATGTTTGTGAATGGAAGCCCCCTTATACCTAGTTCAAAAGTTTAAACCAACAGCAGATAATCCCTACTCTTTGTGAGAGGTGATACACAAGGTAATTTCATAGCCTTTACCTAAACTAGGAAGATTAACTCCTTTACTGTAATTTGGAAATCGTCCTTGAGCTTAAGTTAGATAACTTTCTTTACCCTTATTTGGAAAACTTTATTTACTCCAACTTGGAAATCTTCCTTTAAATAACCTTAACATGCGAACATGTCTTTCCAATTTCTGTATGCTAACTTTGAAATCTTACTTTATCTAAACAAGGAAATGCTTCTATAAGTAGTTTGAACATGCTCAGAAATGATGTCAACAAAGCATTACTTTTGTAATGCTATTCTGGTGACGAAAAATTATACATCACTGCATGTTTAAAGAATTTGTTCAAATACTAAAAATATTTACTGCTATATAAATGAATGCAGAAACAAGCATCACTGTACCTAGCTCTAAAGTTTAATCAGTCAGATAATAATTATTTTAGGTGTTTCTCCGGGTAATCTGAAAGTTCTCTAGCTAAATACAGAGCTATTTAAGATTTTTTTTTTAATTCTGGAGTAGTCAAATCCATTGATTAATACAAAATACCCAAATATATAATTTTTTTTAAAAAAATGGCAATTTTATTTTAATTGTATTAATTTGAAAAGTATATAATTTATATAGGATTTGAAAAGTATATAATTTATATAGGATTTGAAAAGTATATAATTTATATAGGATTTGAAAAGTATATAATTTATATAAGAACTAACAGTGTTTACTTTCTTTATATAAAGAATGTATTATCATGTTTAATTGTAGTAAAAATGAACTAATTTGATGGACAAACCTTTCGTCTTGCATCTTCAGCTGCATATTTTTCTGCATTCTTAACCATATTTTCAATTTCATCTTTCGATAAACCTCCGGACGACTGTATAACAACTGAAATCAGAAATTTTATTGCATGTTATGTTTCTTTAATGGAATCATATACAAGATTTTAAAACAAGAATAGGTCATTATTGCACCATCACAGCAAAAAGGAAATATGCATATAAAGGAACTTAAATTGATTTTTCGACAATAATAGGGTCATAATGTCACTTTAAAAACAATTGGGAAATATGCATAAACAAAGTTTAGAGTTGTAATGACTTTGTACACTTTTGTCAGAAAGCATAGGTCTTGGATGAACATGCTCAGATATGTTTATCAACAAGGCAAAACATGACTGAATTGCTCTTTCTGTTGACGAAAAATTAAAGCATCATGGCATGTTCAAATGTTTTTTTCATTCTAAATTTTTTAACATACACTGTTATCACAGAGATATGTCTCGCCTTTTTGTAATTTTGATAATGCAAATGTTGAAATTAAAATAGCAATACTTTAACATGTAAGTTATGTAAAAGTTTCAAAGTCAATGAACCATGATCAGGGGTGGGGCTATATAATCTCCATGGAAACGATACTTGCAAATGCCAATAAATTTCCATACCAAATATCATTGACTTAACATTAGCAGTTCATCTTAAACTGATCTAATCACAAACTAATACATGTAAACTAAGCAAAAGTTTAAAAGTAAATAGACCATGACTGAGGGGCGGGGCCAAATATCTCCAAAGAATTGAGATGTGCTAATGCTTATACAACTGAACACCAATTAACATTGGCCTACCACTAATGGTTCCCCTTGAACTGACCTAATCACAAACTAATACATGTTAACTTAGCAAAATTTTCAAAGTCTATAGACCATGACTAAGGGGGCAGAGCCAAATAATCTCCATGGAAATGAGATATGCCAATGCTTATACAACTGCATACCAAATATCATTGACCTACCACTAGTGGTTCCCCATAAATTGACCTAATCATAAACTAATACATGTAAACTATGAAAAGTTTCAAAGTCAATAGACCTTGACTGAGGGGGCGGGGCTAAATAATCTCCATGGTAATGAGATGTGCCAATGCTAATACAACTGCATACCAAATATCATTGACCTACCACTAGTGGTTCACCATGAACTAGACCTAATCGCAAACTAATACATTGTTGACGCCGCCGCCGCCAGAAACAGCATACCTATGTCTCGCTTTTTGACTCTGTCAAGGCGAGACAAAAATATAGAATCGTTTAAGTACTGCTTTAAACACAAAATATGCTGTTTCATTCTTTGATATAAATAGTAATTGTATAGGTTCAAGTGGTCAATTGATTTTTGCTCTGTTGATCACTTAAGATATAAAATGTTCACTGTTGAAAGTTGAGAGTTAAACAAAGACAAAACTTAATATCTAAATGATCAGGTAGACGTCTTGGATACACTAATCTTTGAATATCTTACTTTGCTGTTCTTTTCCAGTTCCCTTATCTCTAGCTGAAACATTGACTATACCATTAGCATCAATATCAAAAGTTACTTCTACCTGTGGCACACCACGAGGTGCAGGAGGAATACCAATCTACAAAAGAAAAATATCACATCACTTGCACTATTATAGTTAGAGAATAAAAATAAAGCAATTCCATCTAAGATTTCAAGATCAGCAGCATTAAACATATCTCAAAGAAAAATATATTAATAAATTTAATTTAGAAACTATGACTTACTATGTATTGTCAAAGCTGTAAAATCTAAAATACAAAACAATATGTCAATGTATAATCATTAGTAAGTCCTACAACAACTTGATATGTCATTTTTTTTTTTTTTATTCTTCATTGAATTATAAAAAAGATTTGTAGATGGTATCTGTTTTAGTTTCTATTATAAATCTAAATATTACCAATTGAAACTGTCCCAAGAGTTTATTATCTAAAGCCATCTCTCTTTCACCCTGCAGAACTTTAATTTCAACTTGAGTTTGTCCATCAGCAGCGGTGGAAAATATCTGCAAAAAAGGCAAGTGAAGGTATTGTAATTGGTAAAATGAAATATTCTTTCCAGTATTCTTGATTTCTATTCAATTAATTTTTTTGGGCACTTTTCAATTTATGTTAAGTTTGGAACGAAAATTTGTTAAAAAATAATTATTTAATAATAGATTACATAAAATTATTGAATATAACTTCAGTTACGAAATATGTATGCTTCAATAACCATGGCATCATGAATCATACCATAATGCCACTTCTCTGAAGCAATTATTGCTGTTCTACTTGTCACAACCCATCACAAAATATGTTTGTGACAGAGAAATACAAGTAGATAAATATCCATACACTATTCTTCATCCATTCTTACAGTAAAAGTACTGTGAGCATGGCTCACAAAATGATACCCCTGCCCCTTGCAAAGTTGATGATTTGCTAAGGGAAACCCAAAAATAGTTTGGACAGAAGAACATAATAAGAGGTCCATAAAGGCATTATATGGTTAAGCTTGCAAGAAAGTTTCAATAAATTTTAATAGGGGGTTTAGGAGGAGTCGAGGTTACAAAAAAGGTACCCCCAAAATTAAAGCAATGGCAAAGTCCATGGCTTTGTCAAGGTAAACCCAAAAATGAGTGGTATATAAAATTAAGATCTTTAGGTGCACAATAGCATTTTAAAGAAAGTTTTTTAAAAATAATAATTTTGTAATGGATTACAAAATAAATGGGGAATGTTTCCATGGGACACAGATAATGCCCCCGCTTGCATATAACGTTATAAAGGGACATAACCATGATAACTCAAGAACTGTAAAGTGACGCTACCCAAATTTGTACTTCATCTGAGTTTTGAGGTAATAAGTATTGTGTATAAGTTTCATAACACTTGGTTGAGGCAAACTGAAGTTAGAGAAAACGAAAAATTCAGGCTGAATTTTTCCATTTGTAATGGGGCATAACTCTAGAACAGTTAAAGTGACGCCACCAAAATTCAAACTTGATCTGTGTTTTGTGGTAATAAGCATTGTGTATAAGTTTCATAACATTTGGTTGAGGCAAACTAAAGTTAGAGAACGGAAATGAAAAATTAAGCAATTTTTCCATTTGTAAAGGGGCATAACTCTAGAACAGTAAAAGTGACGCCACCAAAATTCAAACTTGATCTGTGTTTTGTGGTAATAAGCATTGTGTATAAGTTTCATAACAATTGGTTGAGGCAAACTAAAGTTAGAGAACGGAAACGAAAAATTAAGCAATTTTTCCATTTGTAAAGGGGCATAACTCTAGAACAGTAAAAGTGATGCCACCAAAATTCAAACTTGATCTGTGTTTTGTGTTAATAAGAATTGTGTACAAGTTTCATAACATTTGGTTGAGGCAAACTAAAGTTAGAGAACGGAAACAAATTTTGGGACGTACTGACGGACAAGGGTAAAACTTAATGCCCCCTCCGCTATGGTGGGGGCATAAAAATCATTCAAAATAACTTGTTTATATGAAATATGTATGCTTCAATAACCATGACAACATGAATCATATCATAATGCCACTTCTCTGAAACAATTGTTGCTGTTCTACTTGTCACAACCCATCACAAAAAATGTTCATGACAGAGAAATACATATGATACAAGTAGATAAACATCAACATAAGTTCTTCATCTATTTATAAATAATAACTTTAAATTAAAACAAAATCATTTCAAGAGATAGATTAATGGTCTTCAGCAAGACAAGAGTCTATGCAATATGTCAAGCTCCAAATTGTCGAGTTAACAAAAATTATGAATAAATTATACTGAGACTACCAAAGCTCTGCCATCATCACCAAATTCCCCTAATGACAAAAAATGTCAGCCTAACAGTTTTATTGATTTTGGTGCCTTTTTCAAAAGAAATGGCATTCAAGTGTGCTTTTAATGGTATTCTATGTTGCCAAGCTATCAATTGTGCATACTTACACAAAATATTTAATATTTTTGAAGACTTTATAAAGGACTAAGTTAAAAAAAACATATGTCTGTTTCTTGTCTCCAGCTCCCAAAAAGAAAAGGGAAGAAGGTTTGAAAAACAATTCATTTTCACAACTTTTTTTTACTTTTGACTGGTATGATAATCCTGAAACATTACCTGTTTTCTCTTGATTTGATTAGTTCATAAATTTTCACAACCGGAAAAAGCCATTTGCAATGAATCTGGTCTTCACTGTGGAAGACAGTTTTTACATGATTTTGGGCTATTAAACATGTGAATTTTAACAAAAATAGTTAATCTTGATTTAGAGCTATTTGGGAAATAAAATTATTTTTTCTCCTGAAAGCAATTAAATGTGTTATGGTTGAATGAGAAAGGAAATAGACAGATATGTTTTTTGGCCTTATGATACCTATCTGAAGTTATCTTCAAAAATGACCCATTCATACAATGTTCTTTTAATAAACAGCATCTTGTGAAAAAGAATTTTGTAATGGATTACATTAAATTATAACTCTAGTTAAAAAACACATTTGTTTGTTTGCTTCAATAACCATGACAACATGAATCATACCATAATGCCACTTCTCTGAAGCAGTTATTGCTGTTCTACTTGTCACAACCCATCACAAAATATGTTTGTAACAGAGAAATACAAGTAGATAAATATCCACACTATTTGTCAGTACAAATTAGCAGTTGATTCTAATGTTCATGGTAACTTATCCATAATTGTATGCCTTGTCCGGTAAAATATGATTTATAATGCATGTAAATCATAGGGTAGATTCATAGTACATACAGACTTAAATGGAGGATCTTAAAGAGTAATTATTAAACTTATACTTACTTGAGATTTTTTGGTTGGTATAGTTGTATTTCTGTTTATAAGTTTAGTGAAAACACCACCTAATGTTTCAATACCAAGAGATAATGGTGTTACATCTAATAATAATACATCAGTTACATCACCAGCCAATACACCTCCCTAAAAAAAACATTAAATGTTTGTGAAAATGGTTCATGTATGTCCTATATAATACAGTGTGTTTAATTAACCAGATCTAGAAAGTTGCTATTCTCACTTATTGACAGACTATTTGTGAGATAAAAAAAGTTAAGATAAAGAGTCACAGACAATGTCTTTTTATTCACATACTAGTATACCCAGTAAAGTAACACTCATTTTTTGACAAAGGTTAATTTATTAATTTCTGCTTCAAGACAAGTGAACAGTGTCAGACAACTTTTCTTACTGTAAAGAATTTGACAAAAATCACTTCATAGCATTAATGTTCTGAAAATGATAATTATGTTTCCAACCAATTATAATATTTGTTTAAATGGGCTGACAATAGTATGCACCTAATCAAACTATTTTATGTTTGTTTATTTTTCTGCAGAATATATTACCTGAATAGCTGCACCAATGGCTACTGCTTCATCAGGGTTAACTGATTTACTTGGTCCTTTTCCAAATACTTCTTGTACTGTTGTCTGTACCTAAAATGATCAAATAAATGTAAAATAAGTGTTTGTTTTCAAGGGTCATATCCTTCTAGAACTTAAAAATAATGCAGGGTGGAAAATGAATCACTTAATAAATATAGACAAATTTCACAAGGGTGATTTTAATTCATAATGTATGAAGACCTAGTGAACATAATTTTTTTTCTATCCAAAATTCAGTCTTAAATTCCTGGGCAAAGGAGAACTTACTCCACCAATTCATTAGTTCTTCAAAAAAATTTTCTGTGTTTTTATTTTTTTCAACATTTAAAAAACTTAATATTGTTTTATGATTTCATATCCTACCTTAGGCATCCTACTCGTACCACCAACAGGATAACTTCCTGGATATCACTTTTTAATATCATATCCTACCTTAAGCATCCTAGTCATACCACCAACTAGGATAACTTCCCGGATATTATTTTTCTTAATATCCTACCTTAGGCATCCTAGTCATACCACCAACCAGGATAACTTTCTGAATATGATTTTTCTTAATATAATATCCTACCTTTGGCATTCTAGTTATACCACCAACCAGGATAACTTTCTGAATATGATTTTTCTTAATATAATATCCTACCTTTGGCATTCTAGTTATACCACCAACCAGGATAACTTTCTGAATATGATTTTTGTTAATATAATATCCTACCTTTGGCATTCTAGTCATACCACCAACTAGGATAACTTCCTGAATATCACTTTTCTTAATATCAGCATCTTGTATGGCTTTCTGACATGGACCAACTGTTCTTTTGATAAGGTCGTTAACAATAGATTCAAACTGTGATCGAGATAATTTCATATTCATATGCTTTGGTCCAGATGCATCCATAGTAAGATAGGGTAGATTTATTTCTGTCTAAAAATGGAAAAAAACATCACATAAAATTATTATGTTCAAACAATGTTGAATAATATATGTAGCTGGTTACATTAAAGACTTCTATTATGATCAGTAATTTTTACTATTAATCTAGAACAGAGAGTATAACTAAAAATAAATATATATTTTCGTTAATATTGTTGAAATACACATAATGATAACCCAAATTTGTTGAGATCAGCAAAATGTGTGTTCCTTTTTCTATACCAAAGCTTTGGCCCTGTATGCTTGATGGCAAACAGGAATTTGACTGGCTTTGGGTAAATGTTGTAACGCTGAATCAACAATTTAGCAATTAACAAACTTGTCATGATGAAGAGAATTCTATTTTAGCTTTTTCAGCAGCTTTCATTCACTTGAAGAATTAACTTCATAAAGTTGATAATGCTTGACACAAGAACACTGATTTAAGGTATTAAATCTTTGTTCTGAGATTAGCAACTGTCAAATAAAAATTCAGTATTAGAAAACATGTGCTTTAAACAAAAGTGATTATATAAAGTTTCTTCTCAGTTTGTTATTGCATTTATAACGAGTTTAGCCAGATATAAAACCACTGATGTTCCACACTTCAAAAGGTGCACTGCAAGTCAACAGAACTAGCAATGTAGCAGTTAGATCAGTGAATCCATATCAAAAGCACAAGTCATTATTTCAATGTCAGTCAATTTGTCCTTGATTAACTGATGATGACCTTGATTGCCTTTAATTTCAAAGAGATTTAAAACGAGATGGACAGAAATGCCTATCTAGCTGGCCATTATTTCGGAAGCCTTAACATGGAGCTTACCCAAATAAAATAGGTTCTGAATGTTGAAACACAAATAGTTAACCCAAATTATTATTATTGTTGCAATACACATGAAGCTAACAAAAATTGTTTTTTATTGTTGAAATACATATGAATCTAATCCAAAATGGTTCTTACTGTTGAATACACATGAAGCTGACCCAAATTTGTTATTATTGTTGAAATACACTTGAAGCTAACCCAAACTGGTTAAAGTCAGCAGAATTTGTATTCCTTTTCTGTACCAAAGCTTTGGCCCTGTATGCTTGATGACAAACAGGAATTTGACTGGCTTTGGGTAAATGCTGTAACGCTGAATAAACATTTTAGCAATAAACAAACCTGTAATGATGAAGACAATTCTATTTTAGCTTTTTCAGCAGCTTCTCTTAGTCTTTGTAAGGCCATGGTGTCTTTAGTTATATCAATTCCTTGCTAAAAATACAAATAAATATTTCTCTTTTCATTTGTCTTTAACATTAATATACAGGTCATTATACAATGGATATACTGTTATAAGCTATGTTAGTTCAATCCTTGTAAATTGGGGTTCAAAAACTTTAGTGTCCTAGCTCTTATCCAAAGTATCTGAAAGTTATTTTCAAATAATGCAGACATTTCGAAGTCAAATGACAGTTGCATGACAACAAATACTCTACAAATTTATGCTCTTACATATAAGTAAATAAAATGCTTCGCTGGGGCGCAGCTTGATACGACCGCAGAGGTCGAACCCTGAACAGTTGGGGCAAGTATGGACACAACATTCAAGCTTGATACAGCTCTGAATTTGGATTGTTATTAAATATTTGACACAGCATAGGTTTCTGACACAGAAAGAATGTGGTCTGAGAACTTGAATTTTTTTAATTTACCTATTATGGTCCAATGTCCAAAATAAAAATACATGGTTAGATTCAGCATATCAAAGAACCCCATATATTCAATTTTTGTTAAAATCAAACAAAGTTTAATTTTGGACCCCAACTTGGACAAACTTGAAAACTGGGCCCATAATCAAAAATCTAAACACATGTTTAGATTCAGCATATCAAAGAACCCCAAGAATTCAATTTTTGCTAAAATCAATTTAAGTTTAATTTTGGACCCTTTGGACCTTAATGTAGACCAATTTAAAAAACGGGACTTAAAATTAAAAATCTAAATACACGGTTAGATTTGGAATATCAAAGAACCCCAATAATTCAATTTTTGATGAAATCAAACAAAGTTTAATTTTGGACCCTTTTGACCTCAATATGAACCAATTTGATAGCAGGGCCCACAAATAAAACATCTAAATTCATGGTTAGATTCAGCATATCAAAGAACCCCATATATTCAATTTTTGTTGAAATCAAAAAAAGTTTAATTTTGGACCCCAACTTGGACCAACTTGAAAACTGGGCCAATAATAAAAAATCTAAACACATGTTTAGATTCAGCATATCAAAGAACCCCAAGAATTCAATTTTTGTTAAAATCAAACTAAGTTTAATTTTGGACCCTTTGGACCTCAATGAAGACCAATTTAAAAAACGGGACCCAAATTAAACATCTAAAAACACGGTTAGATTTGGCATATCAAAGAACCCCAATAATTCAATTTTTGATGAAATCAAACAAAGTTTAATTTTGGACCCTTTTGACCTCAATATGAACCAATTTGATAACGGGGCCTACAAATAAAAAATTTAAATACATGGTTAGATTCAGCATATCAAAGAACCTCATATATTCAATTTTTGTTGAAATCAAACACAGTTTAATTTTGGACCCCAATTTGGACCAACTTGAAAACTGGGCCCATAATCAAAAATCTAAATACATGTTTAGATTCAGCATATCAAAGAACCCCATATATTCAATTTTTGTTGAAATCAAACTAAGTTTAAATACTGGACCCTATCTTGGACCAACTTGAAAACTGGGCCCATAATCAAATCTAAACACATGTTTAGATTCAGCATATCAAAGAACCCCAAGAATTCAATTTTTGCTAAAATCAAACTAAGTTAAATTTTGGACCCTTTGGACCTTAATGTAGACCAATTTAAAAAACAGGACCCAAAATTAAAAATCTAAATACACGGTTAGATTTGGAATATCAAAGAGCCCCAATAATTCAATTTTAGATGAAATCAAACAAAGTTTAATTTTGGACCCTTTTGACCTCAATATGAACCAATTTGATAACGGGGTCCACAAATAAAAAATCTAAATACATGGTTAGATTCAGCATATCAAAGAACCCCATATATTCATTTTTTGTTGAAATCAAACAAAGTTTAATTTTGGACCCCAATTTAGACCAACTTGAAAACTGGGCCAAAAATCAAAAATCTAAATACATGTTTAGATTCAGCCTATCAAAGAACCTCATATATTCAATTTTTGCTAAAATCAAACAAAGTTTAATTTTGGACCCTTTGGACCTTAATGTAGACTATTTTGAAAACTGGACCCAAAATTAAAAATCTAAATACACTGTTAGATTCGGCATAACAAATAAATAAATGTGATCAAAGATTTTACAAATCTAATACGCCATACTGTGCAATTAAAGATTACTTCTTGAAATTTTTCAATATTTGAAATTTGAAAAAAAAATAATATTTGAAGAATAATTCTTTTTAATTTCTGAAATCTGAAATGAGAAAAAATTGACCCCCCACAATTTCTTTTTATCCCCCCCCCCCTTTTTTCCCCCAAAAAATTCTTTCCCTCAAGATATGGTCATAATCTCAATTCAAATTTCCAATGGAGTTGGCAACCATAATTACCCATTTAATTTTACCATAGTGCTAACTTAATCTATTTTATAATAGAATTAAAAATATAGTGTCAAATCTTTCATATGGATTTTTTTGTAAAAAAAAATGATGCAACATTTGCAGATATTTTTACTGGTCTTCCTCTATAAATATGCATTTCTTTAAACATAATTTAAAAGCAGTGTAAGGGAAGTTACCAAAACGTTGTATTTGGATTACCTCCCTTATACTGTTTTAAATTATCTTTATTGTTCATTAACCATTACTTTATGCATAATTTAAAAGCAGTGTAAGGGAGATAATTTCAATGATGTATTTGATTTATCTCCCTTACACTGCTTTAAATTATGTTTTGTACTAAAGTATTTGTCCATTAACCAGGACAACCTTGTTTTTCCCCCTTTTTTGCCCCTAATTCCTAAACGGTTTGAGCCATAACCCCCCAAAGCAAATCCTAACCATCCCTTTGTGGTATGGAAACTTGTAGTATAATTTCAGAGAGATCCATACACTAACACACAAGTTATGTCTGGAAGTTACAATAAAATGCTCTGCTGGGTGGCAGCTTGATACGAACCCTGAACAGTTGGGGCAAGTATGGACACAACATTCAAGCTTGATACAGCACTGAATTTGGATTGTAATTAAATATTTGACACAGCATAGGTTTCTGACACAGAATGAATGTGGTCTAAGAACTTAAAAAATTTTAATTTACCTATTCAAACCATATCATTATTATTTGCTTTTATATATAAATCAGAAATAACCAATTTAAAATGGAAAATTTTAAAGAAAATAAAGGAAAAAAAATCCCCCCCCAAATTTTCTGAACCCCCTTATGATTCATCACCCCCAAACTCAATCCCAGCCTTCCCTTTATGGTATGTGACCTTGCAGTACAATTTCAGAGAGATCCATACACTTGAACACACGTTATTGTCTTGAAACTAGAAAAATGCTTGTTTTTTTGCCCCTTTATGGCCCCTTATTCCTCAAATTTTGAGGGAATTACCCCCAAAATCAATCCCAGCCTTCCCTTTGTGGTATGGTACCTTGCAGTACAATTTCAGAGAGATCCATACACTTGAACACAAGTTATTGTCTGGAAACTAGAAAAATGCTTATTTTTGGCCCCTTATTCCTAAACGTTTTGGGCAATTACCCCCAAACTCAATTCCAGCTTTCCCTTTGTGATATGGAACCTTGTAGTACAATTTCATAAAGATCCATACACTTACACACAAGTTATTGTCATGAAACTAGAAAAATGCTTGTTTTTTGTCCCTTTTTGGCCCCTAAACCCTAAAATTTGGAGGTAATTACCCCCAAAATCAATCCCAGCATTTCCTTTGTGATATGGAACCTTGTGGTACAATGTCAGAGAGATCCATACACTTGAACACAAGTTATTGTCATGAAACTAGAAAAATGCTTATTTTTGGCCCCTTTTTGGCCCCTTATTCCTAAACGTTTTGGGCAATTACCCCCAAACTCAATTCCAGCTTTCCCTTTGTGATATGGAACCTTGTAGTACAATTTCATAAAGATGCATACAGTTACACACAAGTTATTGTCATGAAACTAGAAAAATGCTTCTTTTTGGCCCCTAATTCCTTAACTGTAGGTACCATAACCCCCAAAATCAATCCCCACCTTCCTTTTGTGGTATTGAACCTTATGGTAAAATTTCATAGAGAACCATTCACTTAAACTAAAGTTAGAGTGCGAAAACCAATGTGTCTTCGGACGACGACGACGCCAACGTCATACCAATATACGACCGCAAAACTTTTTTGCGGTCGTATAAAAATGCTTATTTTTGGCCCCTCATTCCTTAACTGTTGGTACCATAACCCCCAAAATCAATCCCAACCTTCCTTTTGTGGTATTTAACCTTATGGTAAAATTTCAAAAAGATCCATTCACTTAAACTAAAGTTAGAGTGCGAATACCAATGTGTCTTCGGACGACGACGCAGGACGACGACGACGCCAACGTCATACCAATATACGACCACAAAATTTTTTTGCGGTCGTATAAAAACTTATGAATTGAATGTTATCTAAGTTAACCTCATCTTATTTGTATTTCATATCCTAATTTTTAAACTACTGTAACAAACTTTTTAAGTTTTCAAATTATTGAATATATTTATTTTCTATTTCTCTAATAATTACAACTTACGTCTCTTTTGAATTCTTTAACAAGAAAGTTGACTAAAGCATTATCAAAATCTTCACCTCCAAGGAATGTATCACCATTTGTTGACCTTACTTCAAATACTCCTTTCTGGATTTCTAATATAGATACATCAAAAGTACCACCTCCTAAATCGTACACAGCAATCCTACAATGAAAGGATACAGTTAGCATATGGAATTTGTTCACATATGTATGATGATATTAATGGCATAATTCAAAATGAAAATCTGTACAAAAATCTGTTTGATGGGATAAATCTCCAACAACAACAAATCCTTAGGGCTGTTCTAGAATTAAATGCATGGGGGGGATGGGGGGGATTCATTTTTAAGACCACAACCACCCATTACATTAAAGTTTTCATTTCACTTATAATTCTTACAAATTCTTAGTAAAATGCAACCACCCACAATAAATCAATCTGAGTGCCGCCTCCCCTTTAGGACTAAGATATGAAACCTCAGTGGGACAAACAAGAAATGTTGGTCATAAAATGGAGTGGTCAAGTATATGTACCACCCTGGACGTCTATAATAAAGATCTAAATGTGATATAAAATTCAAAGTTTATCTAGCATGATTGTAGAATTGTTTTGTACAATATCAGTCTTTATCAGATGGTACTGGGCAGTCAAATTTTATTGCTTTACACCTTTGGGTTATGGAAATCTAAATGAAATAATTTGACATGTCCCTTAAGAATAACCAGCTAGAGGAATTACTCAAGTGATTTCTTTTTAACCACATGTTTAATTGAGTATCATGTCTATTATACATACAAATCAGACATAAACTGGCAAATTAACAAACAAGATTCATAATAAATAAATCATGAAATTAGTAAGAACCTTATCAATGTAAACTTTCTCAGCATTCCCCTGCCTTAAACAGAAGGCATAATGGGAAGAGCCACACTTACAATTTATCTTCCGACTTGTCCATTCCATAGGCTAAAGCTGCAGCTGTAGGTTCATTTATCACACGTAATACATTTAAACCAGAAATTTGTCCAGCATCTTTAGTTGCCTGAAATGAAGCTATATATCAGTATATCATGACTTTCACAGCATAATATATACACATATTATATGTATTTTGTCTTGTAAAATTTCACTGATTCAATAAGGATAAAATTGACGAAATATAACTCTGTAAATTTTTAAAAATTGTATTATGTGTCATCTTTTTCATGTATTTGTCAGCTTCTGTGAAGAAACTTTCAAATGCATTAAAACTTTTTAATAAATGTAAACTAACAATTAACTGTATACCTGTCTTTGTGAATCATTGAAATAAGCTGGAACAGTAACAACAGCATTTTTAACTGGCTGTCCCACATAATTTTCTGAAAAGTAAAGACAATAAAACTCAGCTATTGTGATTTAGTTTTGAACCATAGACATTTCCTGTAATGTTTGGGAATCAAAACCCATGCAAAACACAAACAAAACACATGAAAAACACAATTCTGATTTAAAAAGTTTTTATATTATCAAATTTGTGTAAAGTGGCTATTATCACTACCTACATGCATGGTATTACTCATCAATGGTTAAGTCATTTATTTAACTTGTAAACTTCTTCCAAGTATTGGATTTTTTTCAGAGACAGCATAAAGCAAACATCAATCAATCAAGTATTAAAAACAAGATAATTTTTTCAATAGACTCTAGTGTATAACTTATCATACAGACAATATAACATGCAGTCTTTCTTCATCTTAAAAAGATGTGTTACCTGCAGTTTCTCTCATTTTAGTAAGGACAAATGCACCAATCTGACTGGGTGAATACATCTTCCCTTGTGCTTCCAGCCAGGCATCACCATTGGTAGCTTTTACTATTTTGAAGGCAACATTTTTCCTGTCAGAATGAAAGTGATAAATATTTTATAGTTTAATGTAATGGTATTTTTCCTCTCAAAATAAAATTTAGACGGAGGATTCCCAATCCAGCATAATCTGTGATAAGGTCAAAAGCAGCTTAACCTTACTGATGCAAATCAAGATCTGAAAGTTCTCAGACATTACAAATAATTTGTAAAGAATCAGCCCTTTATCTATTACAGTTTGGAAACAAATCAGATAACTCTTTTTCTTAACAATTTTTTATCAAAGAGTTGTATATAATAAAACTCAATCTGTAATCATGACTGCAGTCTAATCATGAAAAGTCACTCAGCCAGATCAAAACAAAACTGTAAATCATCATTAAATACAAATGTACCATTTAAAATACAATTAATATCTGCATGCATGACAAAATAAATGGGGAATGTGTCCATGGGACACAGATGATGCCCCCGCTTGCATATCATAATGAAGTATAAAGGGACATAACTGAAGAAAAGTGATGCTACCCAAATTTGTACTTGATCTGAGTTTTGTGGTAATAAGTATTGTGTATCATTCTCATAACATTTGGTTGTGGCTAACTTAAGTTAGAGAACAGAAACGAAAAATTCAGCAAATTTTCAATTTGTAAATAGGCATAACTCAAGAACGGTAAAAGTGATACCACCAAAATTCAAACTTGGTCTGTATTTTATGGTAATAAGCATTGTGTATAAGTTTCATAACATTTGGTAGAGGCAAACTAAAGTTAGAAAACGGAAACCAAAAATTCAGCAATTTTTGTGTTTATAAAGGGGCATAACTCAAGAACAGTATAAGTGACGCCACCCAATTTCAAACCTGATCTGTATTATGTTGTAATGAACATTCTGTATAAGTTTCATAACATTTGGTTGAGACAAACTAAAGTTAGAGAACAGAAACAAAAAATTCAGCAATTTTTATGTTTAGAAAGGGGCATAACTCAAGAACGGTAAAAGTGACGCCACCCAATTTCAAAGTTGATCTGTATTTCATAGTAATAAGCATTGTGTATAAGTTTCATAACATTTGGTTGAGGCTAACTAAAGTTAGAGAACGGAAACCAACTTTGGGACGTACATACAGACAAGGGTAAAACTTAATGCCCCGCCGCTATGGCGGGGCATAAAAAACATTTGAAGAAATAATTTAAGAATCCTTGTTGCACTTACATATCTTTTTGTACTTCTGGGTCCTCAAATCTTCTTCCAATTAATCTTTTTGTTGCTGATAAGGTATTTTCTGCATTAGTAACTGCTTGTCGTTTAGCAGGCATTCCTGTTATCCGTTCCCCATCTTTTGAAAAAGCTACAACTGATGGGGTAGTTCTGGCACCTTCAGCATTTTCCAAAACTTTGGCTTGCTTTCCTTCCATAATGGCAACACACGAATTTGTTGTACCAAGATCAATTCCAATGACATGGCCTTTAACTTTATCGGTTCTATAAATAATGTTTTCAAGAGAAATGTAGATGTTCAATTATCTTAGTGGTAAAACACTTGCCTACTGAGGGGATAACATGTACAATATAACAACACAGATAATACATATACATGAAGTCTGTCAGCATCAATGAAAATTATACAAGTTCCTTCATTCCTACATTTCCTGATTTATTGAACTCCTTAAAAACTTTGACAAGAATCCTTGATTTCAATAAGAGAGAACTTGATACTACATGTTTCTGGTTTAAGAGAGAACTTGATAGTACATGTATCTAACCAGAAATAAATGTGCTATAAATAATATAGCGATATTTGTGCTAGCCCCTCCCCCATATCAAAATTGGCTAAATCCATCTTTAATTATTCTACACTAAAGTACCCTTATATTAAGACAATCTATAATTCTGAATGAATTTTCAGACTTTTCAACATATTCTTATTATTAAATAGAAAGAACATATTCTTTTTGCCAGTTAAATAAATTTTTTCAACAACTGATTCAAAATGACCTCAGAATTTTCTACAAAAATTACATTAATCAATGGCAATTAGTTCATAAATAAATTTGCAAATGGTATACTTCTTCCAAAATGAACTGTACAAAATAAAGTAACTGGATACAACAAAGTTAAGATATATAACAGTGTGTGCCCTAAATAAAATCTTACCAACATGCACTGACCATTAATTTTAATCTTAAGAAAAATACCCCAAACATTATTTTTTTTACCTTTATACTAAAATTGTTGTATTACTCACGCATATCTCCTTGAGTTGGGATTCTTCAATATACCACAAGCATTCTGAAAAAGAAAATCTACATTATTTTTTTTCTATGGCAGCAATAAGCATAAGTTAAAACTAGTTTTCAACCAAAAAAATTTTGACTGTCAATGTTGTCCTAAAACAGGGACGATGCTGAACTATGACAATGTCACCAATTTGATTGAATAGAATTCGTAAACTATTCAGTCACATAAATCTCACCAAAAAATATTGGTTGAGGCCAAAATAAATAAAATTGTGTGTTTCATATTTCACCTCCAAAATAATTAGGTAGGGTAGGTAGGTAAAACTTTATTTTTTTATTATTGTTGACAGCAGAAAAAAGGTTCCAAAACAAATTGTTGATGTGCCACCTTTGCCTGATTCTTTAATATTTAGAATAATACTTAAATCTACAGCATTTTTAATTTTCTGTTTAAGTTCTGTGTCAGAAATCTGAAGATAAAGTTAATGCAAAATTATGCATTTCATGGGTCAAAATAGGGAATATGTTCTTGTCGATGAATTATCTCAAACCAAAAATGGCAGTAATAATACTCATGGTATGTTATTATGTAGGGCCTATTTGAACCTTACAATATAAATGGCACACAGGGTACGTTTGGAAGCAGATTATTACCCCTTGAAAACATTGTGAACTGATGCTGAGCAGAGGTTGATAATGATGTTGGATTGATAATACTCTGCCCTTGCACCCTCTTTATTTAAAAGATGTTTTGATGTTAAGACAGAATGTGATTTTGAAGAGTGGGTGGTTCCACAATATTAAAACTAGGATTTGAGAAGAGAATGTGAAATCTTTGTCAATATACTGGTCAAATAAATTGCTGAAATAAATACGACTGGATTTTTTTTCCTTCTTTTCTTGTATACATTGTTATGAGACTAGCCAGAGAAATATATAAAAAGAATTTAAGTTGACATGGTGCCTGGGCAGTTTCATTTATAAATGAACATGAATCATACACCATGTCTGCCTACTAGGGAAAGCTTCTTTTTCTCTTTTTCATTACATATTGTCTGCCCCCTGCCATCATAAACTCAACTGCTCAGAGGCATTGACAGCCGTTTATGTTGCGCCCTGAGCACGATTTGGTACAACATTCACGAGGGCAGATTTCCACCAAAAGTTTGACTGGTTTTAGCAGTAAATTGATCACATTACTTTCTAAAACTGTTTGTCAATTCACTGACAGATACCATCTGTCCAACATGGAGCGATTCTGACTTTTGGTCCAAAGAAGTTGAGCAAAATATTGATTGATTGATTATTGTTTGCTTTACGCCGCATTAGCACAGAAAGGCTATATCGCGGCAAGGGACGGCAATATATGTCAGCTTCGTATTTTTTCGTCTAAAATGTAATCATGATGTTTTTCAAAAAGGTTCATCATATCGTAATTATCCAGAATTGATGTCATATTTTTTGTATCCATGCAAGAATCTTTTATTATCACATTTCGCATATTTGACAGCTAATATGCAGAACGGTTGTCGACAAGCCTAGCTGCAGAACCATAACTCTAATGGTCTTTATAATGTTTTCTAATTTGTGCAGATGGTCTGCAAATAGTAATAAACTGCTTTGCTGAGCGCAGCTAGATACGCCTGCAGAGGTCCAACCCTGAACAGTTGGGGCAAAAATGGACACAAGCTTGATTCAGGTCTGAATTTGGATTGTAATTAAACATTTGACGTATAATAGGTTTCTGAATAAATGTAGTCAAAGAACTTGAAATTGGTTATATGAATTAAGTTTATATTCAATTAAAGATTTCTTGCTGTTGTACAATACACTGTGTTGTGCAATACACTGTGCTGTTGCGCAATACTTAGTAAATCTGTTGTCAGACTATAAACAAATAAAATCTTATAACTCGGAAACGTAAAATCGAAAATTTATAAAAATCAAAAGAAAGCTTACATCAATAGAAATAAACAATTTACGAAAGTTTCATAAAAAAAGCTTTCAGCATTTTTGAGTAATTGTCCGAAAACTGGAAAATCCCCCTTTTTGTAATGAAAAAAAAACCCATAAATCGGAAACGTATAGTCTAAAATTTATAAAAATCAAAAGGGAGCTCATGTCAATAGATATAAACAATTCACAAAAGTTTCATGCAAATTGGTGAAATAGTTTTCGAGTTATTGTCCGAAACTGGAAAATCCCCCTTTTTTAATGAATAAAACCCCAAAACTCGGAAACGGTAAATCCAAAATTTATAAAAAACGAAAGGGAGCTCACATCAATAGATATAAACAATTTACCAAAGTTTCATGCATATTTGTTAAAGCGTTTTTGAATTAATGTCTGACATGTTGATGACGGACGGACAACGGTATACCATAATACGTCCCGTAAACGGGCGTATAAAAATTAAGATTTTTTATCACTGTAAGTTGATACCTAATTTTGGGTATAAAAGTGAGAATTGAAATGGAGAATGTGTCAAAGAGACAACAACCCGACCAAAGAGTAGAAAACATCCCAAGGCCACCAATGGGTCTTCAAAACAGCGAGAAAATCCTGCACCCGTAGGTGGGCTTCTGCTGGCCCCTAAACAAAAATCTGTACTAGTTGAGTGAAAATGGACGTCACACTAAACTCTGAAACATATAAATGAACTAATTTTAAAAAAACATACAAGACTAACAAAGGCCGGAGGCTCCTAACATTGGACAAGCGCAAAAATGAGACAGGGTTAAACATGTTTTGTGAGATCCCCTATAAATGTAGAATGAACAAACACACCAATACACACAGTAAAACTCAGTTATAAAAAGGTCAAGTCTGATGTCAGAATAGGTAACAGAAGAAACTAAGCATAATACCAATAAATGCAGATAGTACTCATTGATGAGGATCTTCCCCAACCTGTTTGAAGCCCAAGTCATTCTTACATCATATATACCAATATGTATCAAATAAAAAGTGGATCCATGTTAACACTGAATAGTAATTATATAAACAGAAATTGACCTTGAACAAAAAATTATTAGAAAATCAACAAACTTCTTGACCTAGGATAAAAAAATGCACAATACAAAATAGTATTTCTCTTGCATGTTGATCTTGTACAAAAATTGTCTGACATGAAAAAATTAAAGTTACCCAACTTTAGCAAGTGAAAAATTACAGTTTCAATTAAGACTCAAGAACCTGCTGCCCTGTCCCTTCTTTTTATTAAGCTTTGTCCAGAGCTTTTAAGTTAAAAGTACTTCCTGACTGATCTTGATGTATTAAAAGTTTGATAACCCTCTTTAATAAATCCACAATTGGCAACCATTCTTGATCTGGAGAGGAAAATCCTATGCCGTAAAAAATTATGCAACATTACATCTGCACATCCAAACTCTATGGGTTAAACGGTTGGACCCAGTCCACCTTTTTCCCATGCAAAAAACAACTGTATTATGATGGTACCTCCTAAAACATTCTACAAAATTACTTCATGCATGCCTATAATATATAATTTAACTAACATGTAATATGAAACACAACCTTGCACAAAGACAATTTGTCATGATCTGCAAGTTGAACTATAAATTTTGAAAATAAAGTGAATATAAAAAATAGTTTTCTAATAGGGAACAAAATTTAAGAATGGTTGGTTGCATAATTCTTTGGGCCAAAAACAATTGCATCAGAATCAGAGACATGGAATGTTCAAGAATATCTTTTCTTGAACTGCATTTTATGAATTTTCCGAAAAGTGAACTAAAGTCATAAACTTAAATCCAGTGCATGTTAAAAATTACCTGGAAAATGCACAATTCGATAACAAAAACATTATCAAAATTTATTTTTTCACATTTACGTAAGTAAAGGTTGCGGTAAGAATGTCAATTCTACGTTCTACATAAATTGTTTACCTGCTGTCTGATTGTTGACAAGTGGTGCCTTTGAAAATGAAAACAACTGCTTTTAATAAAGTTGACTGTCTGCACTGATTTCAGCATCATGTTCTTTATAAAATTATTCTTCTCTTCAAAGATTCTCCTTGCCCTTGTCCTGCACGTGTGATGTAAAAGGATTAATGTTAAAACGCATGCGTGTAGTGAGATTTCCGGAAGACAACTGGATTACTGTCTGCACTGGTAAGACCCAAAAATGTAAACAGAAGAAATGGCGGGAACCTGTTAAAAATATTATAATGTCAGAAATTGTAGAATACGGGGAAGAAAATGGAGAAGAAATAGAGCTTACCGCGGCTGAAGTTTTACAACAACTAGAACAGGTGAATTTGCATTGTTTCATCATCGTCGTGAATTTCCTGATTTTTTAGGTTCACTTACAAAATGTATCCTATGATTGATCATTTTAAGCAGAATGTGAGTGAGAAATAGATATGGCACTCATGATGCATGACCCTGATCCCCCCATTCATGTAACCATTGTGACCCGGAAAGAATCAAACTTACAATGTAACTATAATATGAAGGTTTCAAATTGTCCCATGCGTGTAACCAATGGCAATGTAATCATTATGTCAATGGAGGTAACAAAACAAGTGGGAGCGGACTGGCAAGCTGGAGATTTCTGGAATTTCGTCGTTTGCGCAGGAGTCTTCCGCTCAAAAAGGAATGGTTGGCAGGTATGCAGGTAGAAATTGACAATGAGGGTCGGTTGAAAACAAAACTTTACGACAAAAGAGATGATTTCAGCTTCCCAATTGTGAACTTTCCATTTCTATGTAGCAACATTCCAGCAGCGCCTGCATACGGAGTATATATCTCCCAATTGATACGATATTCCCGGGCTTGTATTTCCTATCATGATTTCCTTGATAGAGGATTGCTGCTCACAAGGAAGCTATTAAACCAAGAGTTCCAAATGGTGAAGTTGAAATCATCCCTTCTTAAATTTTCACGAGTTGGTTGACCCTTCCCTTTTCACGAATGTGACCTACTGAATTAGACTATTTACCGGATTTGTAATAATATAAGCAACACGACGGGTGCCACATGTGAAGCAGGATCTACTTACCCTTCCAGAGCACCTGAGATCACCCCAAGTTTTTGGTGGGGTTCGTGTTGCTTAGTCTTTAGTTTTCTATGTTGTGTCATCTGTACTATTATTTGTCTGTTTGTCTTTTTATTTTTGGCCATGGCGTTGTCAGTTTTTTTATTCGATCTATGAGTTTGACTGTCCCTCTGGTATCTTTCGTCCCTCTTTTAGGAAACATCTCAGTTATGATAGGACTAGGTTAGGAAACGACTAGCATTTGGTAAAAGAGACTTTCTAGGAACTAAAGTATTATAATCAATTGCCTTAAATTGTATAATTCCTCTTGTATTATAATCCAAAGGGTCCTCCTAATTACTGTTTTAATGTACGAAAAGGAAGAAAGAGGAGTACGCACATAACAAAGAAGATAAGTGCTTTAAAGGGAAACTCCGCAAAAAAATGAAAAATTGATATTTTGTTCTTTAAGCATAAAAAACCACATGTTCATTAATAAAAAACTTTTATTCTCTATGTAAAGAGATCAAAATCGATTTTTAAAATTCACTATCAGTTCTCGACATATCGCCATCTTGTCGGCATGTTCGATCTAAAACGTCACGTGATATCTATAAACCACAAAGAACAAAAAGAATCGGGGATTTACCGACCGTGCGTTAAAAACTCCCATCATCAATTGGGGATTACCGTAGACGGTTATTCAGTGACAGAATGTCTTGTCAAGAGTACGGTTGTTCTGTCAGACAAGGTTATGACAAAAGTCTACATATTTTTCCCAATCCCACAAAAAAAGAAAGAATTGTATCAGACATGGTTGTACAATCTTAAACTAACAGCAAATAGTTGCATCTATAGCAAGCACAAGTTGGTGTGTGAAGACCATTTTGAACAATATTGTTTCGAGGGAGATTCGATGGTAATTATCCTTTTTTAATAACAAAATAACCTAGCAGTTCTGATAGCTATAGTTATCAAATCCTTATATGATAAGATCTCGTTGAATAAAAAAATATAGATTTGATGAGGGAGAACAGTTTCAATTAAAAGAAAGACAAATGCTGTGTTCTTGTAACAATCACTGATTTACAGAAGATTCATTAGTATGCCGCTTTTATATAAAGTGCATTTATTTGTATAAAGAATAGTTCCGTATTTAGACAAGATAATTTTTCAATTAATAAAGTTATACGATATAAAATAACATTTTTTAATTATGAAATTTAACGGCTATTGACAAGGAGCAATGTAAGGAAGAGGTTTTAGCTGGAACATAATATGTTGATATAGTATAATATTCCCAGGTTATAGATATGTAAATATCAAAATTTCGGACATCTCAACTTTTTTATTAAAAGTGGGTTTTTTGTCGAGCCTGCGACTTTTGTTGCAGAAAGCTCGACATAGGGATAGTGATCCGGCGGCGGCGTTAGCTAACTTCTTAAAAGCTTTATATTTTAGAAGGTGGAAGGTCTGGATGCTTCATACTTTGTATATGGATGCCTCATGTTACGAAGTTTCCGTCAGTCACATGTCCAATGTCCTTGACCTCATTTTCATGGTTCAGTGACTACTTGAAAAAAAAGTTAACATTTTTTGTAATGTTAGATTCTCTCTTATTATAAGTAATAGGATAACTATATTTGGTATGTGCGTACCTTGTAAGGTCCTCATGCCCGTCAGACAGTTTTCACTTGACCTCGACCTCATTTCATGGATCAGTGAACAAGGTTAAGTTTTGGTGGTTAAGTCCATATCTCAGATACTATAAGCAATAGGTCTAGTATATTCTGTGTATGGAAGGACTGTAAGGTGTACATGTCCAACTGGCAGGTGTCATCTGACCTTGACCTCATTTTCATGGTTCAGTGGTCAAAGTTAAGTTTTTGTGTTTTGGTCTGTTTTTCTTAAACTATAAGCAATCTATATATAGGTCAACTATATTTGTTGTATGGAAGAATTGTTTTTTTTTTTAACTTTTGATTTTTTTATTTCCAACAAATACAACATATACATGACATACATACAATATAATACAATAAGAATATATACAATGTCATTAATATAAATACATCTAAATTAGAAATATTTTACATTTTCTATTGAAAAGATAAAAAAATAAAAAATAGAAAAATTAATAAATAAATAAATAAATAAATAATGATAATTAACAAATTGGAGTTAAGAGTAAAGAAGAAGGGAAAAAAAAAAAGAAAAAAAAAGGATTATCCAGTTACATCCCTATCTATATTTTAAATATCAAATATTTATGTTGGAAAATATTTGCAAAATTAACTAGACATATTTCTTTCGTAACAGCCATCAACACAGATCAAGTACATAACATGACAATAATATTTTCTTTAAAATAGATTATAATTAAATAGTCATGAGTTATTGTAACAAAAATAGACATTAGCTGGTATTCAATAAAAGTTTTTCAAAAACATTCCATACATTGTCAAATTCAGTTATCTTTTTATTTTTTACAGCTATCATACTCTCTAATTTATACATATCTTTCAGCTTTATTATAGCTGCTTGCAATGAGAGATTCTTTTTAAAGCATCTAGAATTATACACATATTGTTTTATATAAAGAAAAATCATGTTGTATGGGTTGTTGGGGAATATCTTGGATAAGTCTCCAAAAAGAAAGTTTAATTTATTCATTGGGAGACTTATTCCACCAGAAAGGAACCAGTTATCAATATCCTGTAGAAAATTTTGTACAGTATTGCAATTCCAAAATAGGTGTTCTATAGACTCGTTCTCTGATTTACAAAATGTACATAAAGGATCATCGATCAATTTTATTTTAACTAAAAACTGGTTTGTTGCAATAATGCAATGGTTAATCCTATATTGCAACCACTGTAATTTACTATTTTTTGTAACAGCAAAAGGCAGTCTGAAAATCTTTTTCCAGTTCAGATTCTGTTCACCTAAAATTTTAACCCACTTAAGCTGTCCAGTAGGAGTAACATTATTTCTTGTCAGTACAGAATACATATCTTTTGATCCTTTACAATGTTTTAAAAATACTTGCAGACATGATGGTATAAAAGGACAAAATAATTTGTAAGATCCTTTAGTGTAAGATTTTGATGCCTCTTTCACTGCCGAAATAACACTGTTAAATTTAAGAAAATCTGTGTTAATGTTATAGTTTTCCTTAAATTGGTCAAATGAAATATACGATCCATCTTGGTCAACTATATCATTTACAAATCTAATACCACTTTTGAACCATTCTTGATAAATTACTGATTTATGACCAATCTTAATATTATTATTTAGCCATAGTGGATTTGATAAAAATGAATCATAAGTCAAGTTTCTTTCTTTTTGAATAATCATTTCCCAGGATCTTAGTACATCTTTCCAAAAAAGGTTGTTAACTGTCCTGTAAAGTTGTCTAATATAATCAACACCACAACTAAACAACTTTCTTTTTTCTATATTTGACATGAAAATATTTTGCCATTTACTATCTCTCTGCAAAATCCTTCTAATCCATGTTGATTTAAGGGCTGTAATGAACATATTCAAATCAAGCATTTTCAAACCTCCCTCCAAATAATCTTTGATTAGGATATCCTTCTTAACTCTATGTATAGGTGAGTAACCGTGAGTTCCATATGTATGTATAAATAAGTTCATTTATTCTCTTAACAATATCATCTGAAGGATTTGGCAGAGAGATAATGAGATGGTTTACAATAGGCAAGACTAGAGTTTTAATCACAGTTATTCTACCTATTACAGTTAGATTCCTTTTAGACCATTGGTTTAAAGTATTTTTAATCTGTACAATTCTTTCAGAATAATTTATCTTAACAATTTTTTCAAGATCTACATCAAAATTGATTCCTAGTAATTTAAAAGTAGTTTCACCCCAAGACAGATTTCTGTTAGGACATAATGTATCTGTACTATATTTTTTGCTCCCAAACCAAATAACTTGTGTTTTTGTGAAGTTAATATTCAGTCCAGATATTTTTGCAAACCAGTCTAATTCTAGTAGTGATTCTTGCAGAGATTTTTCACTCCCAT